AGCTCTGGGTAGAAAAATAAAGTTTGCCACTTGATCAGAATCCTGTCTTGTGATCAATTCCCTCTTGTCCCTTGATCCCCCCCCCCCATCCCCTCCTTGGGTTTTGGGTTCTAGGTTGAAGTCTTGAGGGACGAGGCAAGAGGGGAAGTCGTCAAAGGATGTGGAGCAAGAGCAGGAGGTAGAGGAGAGGCAGGAAGTAAAAGCCTGTGGCCTGGTTCCCTGAACAATCTCTGTTGCAGACAGGAAATTCCTGTGTTACCTGCAACAAAGCATGTCCTCCACCCTAAGGTTTCAACCTCCCCCACATACACCTTGGGGTCTAGACAGCAGCACCTGTGTGGGGAAAGATCCCTATTAATTACCCCTGACCATTGACCTTGATGCCTCCGCTTCTATCTCAGATCCAGGTGCTATGGGTGTCACCTTTCCAGGGTCTTAGTTTCTTGTTCATGGAGCCTTACAGTCATCTACTCTTGTCTCACAGGTGGCCCAGACCCAGGGTCCCATGGAATGAATATACTCTGCTATTTCTGATTCTAACATTGTAGTAGACTGTGTGCGTATGTGTGCTTCAGGCCTCCCTGGGGTGATCCTTGATCACCTTTCCTGAGTACACCTGAGTCCTCTAGCCAGGGTTAGAGCACAGACCTACATACCTCACAAAGATCCTGACTCTGGCCCACAGGTATAGCCATTTGGTGTCAAGTGGGGCCACTGCAGTCCATTCACAAAGTTCACTAGGTGCATGCAATTTTTTTTTTTTGTTTGTTTGTTTAATTCTTTCATACATATATTACATCCTGAGCACAGTTTCTTCTCCCTCCTCTCCTCCTATGGTGGTTTGAAAGAAAATAGTCCCCAAAGGAATGGCACTATTAGGAGGTGTGGCCTTGTTGGAAGTGTGCCACTTTGGAGGTGGGTTTTGAGTTCTCCTCTATGCTCAAGCCCAGTGAGACAGAACACTTCATGTTGCCTGAGACTCAAGATATAAGAACTTTCAGCTCCTTCTCTGGTACCATGTCTGCCTGCATGCTGCCTTACTTTCCACCAAGGTGATGATGGAGTAAACCTCCAATGTCATGATGTCACAGCAATAGAAACCCTAACTAAGACACCTCCCAAGCCTTCTCTCCCCTTCTTCCGTCTCCCCCAGATTCACTCCTCTGTTTCCCTTCAGAAAAGATTAGGCCTCCCGGGGATATCAACCAAACAGCATATCAAGTTGCTGGATGAGGCAACCCAGAAGGAGGAAAGAGGTCTCAAACATAGGCAAAAAGTCACAGATAGCCCCTGTTTCCACTGTCAGGGGAGTCAAGCTATACAACTAACATAAGTAGAGGACGTAGGTCAGGCCCATACAGGCTTCCTGATTGTTGGTTCAGTGTCTGTGAGCCCATATGAGCCCGGTTAGTTGATTCTGTGGGTTTTCTTGTGTCCTTGACCCATCTGTCTCCTACAGTCCTTCCTTACCCTCTTCCACAGGATTCCTCAAGCACTATCTGATGTTTGGCTATAGGTCTCTGCATCTCTTCCTGTCAGTTGATGAGTAAATTTATAAACATTTCCCATCCCTTAGGGAGTATTTTCTTAGGAACATTGTTTCTCTTAAAGTCTGCCTTATCTCTTATTAACCTAAGCCATATTTCTTTTGGTTAATATTCTGGTGTTTCAGTTTATTAAATATCTTCCTGTAATGTGTAACATCAACTAGATTTTATTTACTCAAACCAGAATTTTTTTCTTTTTTAAAGATTAATTTCTTTATGTCTATGAGTGTTTCACATACATACATACATACACACACACACCATGCTTGTGCCTGGTGTCCAAAGATCTGGAATAAGTTATAAGATGGTTTTAAGCTGTATGTGAGTGCAGGGAACTAAACCTGAGTCCTGTGCAAAAGTAGCTAGTGCTCTCAATCATTGAGCCAACTCTGTAGCCCCTAGAAAATTTAGATGGCAAGTTAGTCAGATTTCTCATGACCACTGGTAAATCTGAGCTGATCTCTGCTTTAACTTGCCATGTTTATTTTTTCTCATTGCTTCCCTTTTGGGCACTAGGCAGGGTTGGTGGCAGAGTTTGTTTCCCTTAATTTTTTTTTTTTTCCCATGTCTATGCTTTACAAGTTAAAAGTTCTGTATTACTTTCCGGTTACAAATTGCTTAAATGAATACATACATTTTCAAAATCCTTAGCTGGTATAAGTCAGCACCTTGTCTCCTTGAAAACTTTCTGCACCCTGATAAGCCTCACCACCAACACAGTAATCCAAATCAGATCAAACCAAACCGAATTAGAAAAAGCCCATGTCTAATGGGTAAAGTGTTCCTGGATGATTTCCCCCTCCCCACCAGAAGATGGAAAAGGGAGACTGGAAAACCCCATGTCTGTTTTCTGGGGGGCAGTTTTAACACCCTGTGGGAGGGGTCTTGAGTGTCTCTTGTGGGGGGTTGTCATTTGGTGGGCTTCCTGAGATGAGGTAGGGTTTGGAGAAAGGTGGGCGAGAGGCCTTGGGGGCTTGGTGTGGAACTTCCACCAGAACATTCCAGACTATTTGGGTATATGGATACCAGAGGCTGGGGTGGAGCTTCTGTCAAAATACTCCTTCCTATCTGTCTTCCTGAACCAGTCTTTTCCAAGTTGTTTGACAGGATCTCTTTTTCATTCTTGTTCTATAATGTAATTTAATAATAATCTGTTTTTGACCACTTGATTGGTGCCTCCTTTCTCTCTGGTTTTTTTCTTTATTTGTTTCTTTGTTTTTAGAGACAGGGTTTCACATAGAGCAAGCTGGACTGGAAATAATCTGTAGCTGAGGTTGATCTTGAACTCTTGATCCACCTACCTCTACCTCCCCTCAAGTACTGGGATGACAGACCTATGCCATTGTCTTAGCAATGTTCTACCTCAATCTGTGGTGTTCCTTTTTTTTGTTTTTTTGTTTGTTTTGTGTTTTGCTTTTTTTGAGAGAGGGTTTCTCTGTTGTAGCCCAGCTGTCTTGGAACTAGCTTTGTAGACCAGGTTAGCCTTGAACTCACTGAGATGCACCTACCTGTCTCTGCTTCTGCCTGTGATTAAAGTTGTGTGCAACCCGTACATAGTGTCTTTTTATCTTTTAATTAAGGTATGTTAAGAAATTTGTACTTTCCAGCTAAACACTGAGACGAACTCCTGGAATCCAGTTGCAGAGAGGGAAGAGTGATGAGCAAAGGCATCAAGACCAGGCTACAGAAACCCACCGAAACAGCTGACCTGAACAATGGGGAGCTCATGGGCCCCTAGACTGATAGCTGGGAAACCAGCATTATACCAACCCAGACCCCCTGAACATGGGTCTCAGTTAGAAGGCCTGGGCAGCCTAAGGGACCTCTGACAGAGGAACCAGGATGTATCCCTGGTGCACAAAAGGACTTTGGGAGCACATCCCCTATGGAGGGATACTCCCTTAGCTTAGAGGCAGAAGGGAGGGCCTAGTCCCTACTCCAAATGACTTGTCAGATTTTGATGATCCCTCCTGGAAGGCATCACTCTCCCTGTGGAGTGGGGGGTGAGTAGGATGGGGGGGTGTTGAGGGGAATGGGAGGGAGGGAGAGGGAACTAGGATCAATATGTAAAATAAAAATTATATATATATATACATATATATATATACACACACATACATACATACATACATACATACATACATACATATATGAAGAATTTGTACTTTAAGTTGCCCCCTTTCTTCTTCCTCCTCCTTTTTTTGTTGTTTTGTTTTTTGAGGCAGGGTTTCTCTTTGTAGTTCTGCCTGACCTAGAACTCATTCTGTAGACCAGACTGGCCTCAAACTCATGGAGGTCAGCCTGCCTCTGCTTCTTGAGAGCTGGGATTAAACGCATGTGTCACAACTGCCTGGCGTGTGTGCAGGTGCTTGTGGAGGCCAAAAGAAAGCATTGGATACCCTGGAGCTCAAGTTACAGGTGGTTCTGAGAACTGAACCCTTGGGTCTCCTGGAAAAACATCACATCCTTTACCCATAAACCATCTCTCCAGCCCTTTTCTTTTCATTTGATCATTTGCTTTCCTGGTCTGCAGGTTTATGTCTTTCATTCTTCAGGGAACTTAATTTTAAATTTCGCCTTCTCTTGTCCCTCTGTGGGATTGTGCAAGTCTGTGGGATTCGCCCATCTGTCTTCCTTGTTGGCTTCCTTAATTCTGATACTTTAATTCGATCTTTGCCTTTTAAACTTAAATTCTTGCTAGTAATTTCCTCAAATGATACTTGAGAAAGTTTTTTTTTTTTTTTTTTTAATCTTGAGCAGTTAAGGGACCTAGTATTTTTAGCTTTAGTGAATATGTTTACTATTTTTAGAAGTTATATTTTTATGCCTGCATAATTTCTTTACTCAGTATCTTATGTTTTAATCCTTCTTTTTAATTCCTTTACATGAATTTTCAGAGGTTTGAGTGAACCCATGTTGAAGGGGCTTTCTCTACAGTCCTGGAATAAGGCTTTGTCTCTATGCAACAGATTCCATTGCTTTGCCTAGAACCCCCGACTTGTTAGCATCCAGCAGTGAACTCTACTTGCAAGTTTCCATTTCCACCTATACTCTGACCATGGGAAACAATGGCTCACCCAGAGCACCCTTTTTCGTGTCAGCTAAGGCTTTTCTTGTGGCCTTTTATGTCAAGAACACACCTGTTTCTTTCACAAATCTTTCTCAGTTCAGGACCTGTCTGGACAAGGGCAGCCACTTGAGAGCACGAGGGACTCAGTGCCCTTGACAAATCAGACACATAACTCTCAGGATGACTATAAGTTAAGACTAGAATTGACATGCTAGAGTGTTTCTCGGCAACACAAATACTCTTAAGGAGGTTTTAAAAGGAGGTATAAACTGACTGAGGTAACAATCCTTCTACAGTGTTGTTCCAATTTCAAAAAGCTATTAGTGCTCATCCAGGAAAAGTCCGAGAGTGGCAGTCCTGACCTCATATATTTTCTTTTCCAGGTAAGCATCTGTCTGGAATGCAATAGCAGCAAACTACGGGGCCTGAAGCGGAAGTGGATCAGATGCTCAGCCCAAGCCACAGTGCTGCACCTGAAGAAATTCATCGCCAAGAAGCTCAATCTCTCCTCCTTCAATGAGGTAGCTGTCAGCCAGAGAGTGGAATTGGGTCCTTCTTCCCTGTCTTGTTTGTCAGAATAACAGCCAAACATGCACATCCTTCCTTTTACTAGTCTTGTTTGGAGATTTTTAAAACATGTTTTAATTAGATTTGGGGTGTGTGTGTGTGTATGTGTGTGTGTGTGTGTATGCGTGTATGCGTGCGCGCGTACATATGCAGTGGTACTTGCATGTAGATCAGAGGAGAGCTTGCAAAAGTCAGTTCTCTTCTTCTACTGTGGAAATTGCTCTGTAGACCAGGCTGGCCTTGAACTCATAGAGATCCACCTGCCTCTGTCTCCCAAGTGCTGGGATTAAAGGCTTGTGCCACTACTGGCTGGCTTATGCCAAGATTTTTATGAGGGTGCTAGTCTCCGAACTCAGGACCTTATGTAGAGCACTGAGCCATTTCTGTAGTTCCAGAACTTTGTCTTTTAATGTAATGAGTGGGTTAATGAACGGAGACAGATATGACACTTACAGATTAATAACTGAAAACAAAGTAGACCCAGAAACCCAGAGCTTGCTGTGGAGGTTCATGGTAGAGGCTTGTAAGCACATGTGCTCAGAAACCTAGGTGTATGTGCCACTTGGGCAAGAACAGTAGAAGCTGATCCTGCTGCATCAAGGAAGGGTCAGTGATGTGAAGTGTTGCCTAAAAAGAGTTCTGAGGCTATGTGGAAAAGGACTTAGAGAACACATAGACCCCTGTCAAGACAGAAGGTCCAGCATGTTGCAGCAGGTACATGTGAGTGGTTGAGAATAGTTGTAGAGTAGTATATAGAGCTGTGCTAGCCATTGAGCCAATATTACAACAGGAATCCACCGGAAGAAGGTCTTGGCAGGTGTAATATCTCAGATTATCTGCTAAGCCTAAACCCAGTGACAAGCATCTTGCATTAGACTGCAGTGGAAGATTTTAGAAACAGGTCAGGGGAGGCAGGATAAGAGATAACAGAGGGAGAGACTGAAATGACCTGACCACAAGACCCTAGAAACTACAGGGCAAGAGGATCTTCTTGTGCTGAAAACTCCATTTTAGCCCCATGATACTAGGAGGCAGAGCATTGGGGAGATCTTTAAATCAGGACCTGTACCTGGGGAATCTCTTCTGTTCTGTTATAGCCTGCAATGATATCAAGTACCTACATTATGACCAGAATTCTAGCACATATTACCTGTTAACCAGTTATATTAATTGTTGATTGTATTCTATTAAACTATGTTAATGTTTGGTTATATTAACTGTTTATCAATTGCCAAGTCTGTGCAGTTTAATTATAGCCACACTGAAAGACATTCCTGGCAGTTCTGCCACAGTGCTCCTTTAGAGCTGTGTATCAGACTCAGGTCAAAGGTCCCAGTGCTCAGCCCTGAACCAACCACAGGAAAAAGGAAAGTCTAGATTTGGTTTATTTGAAGAATGAAGTAGAGGAGAGTCTTGGACCCTATGAAGGTAAAGATGTACATCTTGACTTGAAGTAGCTTCTGTGCACCATACAGAGCCGGGGATATCAGGCAGTTCAAGGGAGACTGCCTTCCATGTGCAGGAGCATTTCTGCATGAGGACCAGCAAGAAGTGAAGCATTTTCATTGCAACTGGCTCATGAGTGTCCCAGGTGGATCTCATACTGCTCTCAGAGCCCTGTAATCCCTAATGTATGTGAAATGTGGGGCGCTTTGTCATGGATATTGGATAAGGAAGGGAGACAGTAAGTACTAAGAGCAAGTCATAAGAACTGGGTGAGAGCATTATGCCTGAGGGTAGTAGCTTATCTGCAGCTTGTTTGTCGTAAGGTAAACAAGGTAACAGCAGACAGTTGAGCTTTTATGGACCCAGAGGTTGGTTTTCTACTCATCATTCTGTCTACGAGAAACATGCACTCCTGTGTGGCCTGTGAGAATAGCCTTTGTCACCTGCCTAGGAACATACTAAGACCATCTGGGTCATTGATTCACACACTTAGGAACATACAAACTTTAAAAAAAAAATAGTGAGACATCACCATGTACCTCTTCAAGTACCCATGCACAGATTATATAATGGCAGGTGCTATCCAGATGAGCCTGGAGCGGGGGTGGGGAGGTTGGGGGGGTTGGTGGTCAGCACTGGCCAAATACACCTATAAACATTAGGCTTCAGACAAGGAGGCACAGAACCACAATTAGGTGCAATTGGGAATAGGCTATATTGTTAGGAAAATTATAGCCAGGTGGCTCCTCACAGATTGAAGGACAGGATACACAACCCACATGCCATAACAGTCTAGTCTCCATGGGAATGTGTATGTAAGATGAATGAGAGAGCCTAAAAGTGCTCTAAGTAATAAAGCCTATTAAATAAATGAGAAAAAGTCCAAGAGCACATTTCCCCCCACTACACCTAGAACAGCATAGCTAGGAGTAAGGGATAGTGGTCAGGGCAGCTGTGGTGAAAGTATCCTGGTCTGAAACCCATGATGGTGTAGACCAGCAGGTGGGTGTAGATCAGTTACTGCAGCTGTATGTGAAGAAGGCCCTGTGGATAAGGTCATATGTGCTCTGTGTGGACCAGGCCCTATGTTCTTCATGTTAAGAGAAATTGTCTTGTTAATTTTTTTGGTATGCCTTCCCACCTTGCTGTCTGGGTAACCTGGATCACTGCTGTAGCTTACTGAACTGTTGGTGGTGGCTAGGCCCTTCAACGGTCAGTGGGTGAGCACAGGAATTTATAGCTCACTACCACTTAGAGGAAAGACAGGTGACTTGAGGTCACATGTGATTCCCCCAGAACTTCATTAGAGAAGCCCAGAGCCAGGGTAGGGACAGGGCAGGTATCATTGATGCACAGAGCATCTGGGCTAAGCCTCTTGGGACCAATGCAATACAACCATGAAATATACCACTATATCTTTGACCCCTGAAGAAGAAGTTTTAGTCTTAACAGAAATGTTCCTTTTCTGTTATAACGCATGTTTGCTGCTGGCGTCTAAATTAGATGATACAGGTAAGTGAATAACCAAACAAGCTATATTCCCACATGACTGGGGAGGGCTTGTTTCAAAATATATGAGATTATTTATTGTTCATACTGTCACCATTGGCCTCTTTCTAAAGCTAGGTTGAATATGTTCCTAATTGAAGCCCCTTCTCCCACCAGCTGGACATTTTATGCAACGAGGAGATCCTGGGCAAGGACCACACTCTCAAGTTTGTGGTTGTTACAAGGTGGAGATTCAAGGTGAGCCAGGTTTGGATGCCAGGTTTTAGTTAGATTCTTGATCCTTACTTGCTGTGCATGTCTTCTATTTGCAGACATGGCTGTGGAACAGCTGTCTTTCTGGAATCATCCACTTAACCAGGGTCTTTAATCACCACCCCACTCAATCCCCTGAGTGCAGCCACCAGATGTGGTAGCTGCCATAGTTGGAACAAACTCCCTGTCTGAGTCAGGAAACTGGTGTTGTGGTCCCTGCTCAGGACTGGAATGCAGCTCTTTTACTTCTAGCTATGTTTCTGCTCAGGAAGAAGGGGGTGGAGACAATGGGGCCAGTCAAAGACCAGGATAACTCGTAGTTGGTACTGACCAGGACAAGGTTTGGAAGAGTATTAGAAACTGCATAGGAGAGACCAGAGCTAGTGTAGTAGCAGGGGGAACAAATTAAGGCTCTGGCTTCACAGGTTCTTTCATGAGCCCCAAACATCACACAGGTGACCACTGGGTCACCTGAGACCCCTTGTTGCCAGAACTAGATTCAGTAGTGGCATTGCTGATACAGTGTGTGTGCCTGCAGTTTGAGTGCCTTGAGCCACCTTTGTTTTTGTCTTGCAGAAGGCGCCCCTCCTGCTACACTACAGACCCAAGATGGACTTGCTGTAAGCCCAGCCAGACTCAGCCCACACCCAGTGTTCTACATGGCAAAATGTGCTGTGAAATGTTGCCTCTGGGTGCCATGTGGACCAGATTTCTGAATAGAGAATATTTATAACTTTTGTATAAGAAAATCCACTCCCAACAAGACACTACCAGCACGCGTTTACAAAGGATGAAAACACTTTGCAGTTCGCTCGTCTCTGCTTCATGTCCCCAGGCCAGAGAATAAGTGAAACAGTGACATGTTTCCACACCACATCTGAATACAGAATACAGCACCTCTGCTTGCTTTACAGGTCTTGAGAATCTGAGTTCATTTTAGTTTAATTCATGGATTAGGTTTCATGATAAGCCTCAGAAATACTTGTACTTTCATTAAGCCCTTCCTAAGTTATTGAAAGTCTTTTTGTGGTATATATTTATGTTGCCTTTAGCTTCCTGAAGACTTAGAGATATATAAAAATTTAATTTAAAGTATACCCAAAGAGGCTTGCAGTAATACTATTATTTAACCATGGTGTTTAATTTCCCACTTCTAGAGTACCCATTCCCAAGTTTGATTGAGTCTTGTGCTGTGCATCCTGGAATAGTGGCCTGTGCTGGGTGGGCAAGGCAAGACACTTCATCACTCCCCAGTGTCGTGTAGCTGCAGTTCCAGCACCTTCGGTAAGGCAAACCGAAGTGATATGGTCAGTGCAGTGCTGGCTTGTTGAAAAGTCCTTGAAAACTTTTCCTCGGAAAGACCATCACTGAAGTTCCTGCCTTTCCCTTTTTGTTTTCCTTCTGCTGGCAAGATGTGGTGGCTGTGTTTGTCACTTACTAAACAGCACAAGCCATCCTGTAGGGAGACCTTGTAAAGACACTTGGGAGGTAGCCTCTAGCCTCCATGTTCCTGGTGGTTGGTATTTCCAGACTTGCCTTCCTGTTCATGGGATTAACATGCATTCTTTGGGTCTCTTTTTCAGGAAAGGTAACTGAGCAACCTGGTCAACAGAAGTTGCTTTTCCAGTCACAGACAGGATACTATTTGTTAACCTCCCACTTCATATGTAATTTGTTATGTTTTATTTTGTTGGGTTAGAGAATAAGATGCCAGCATGTCCAACTTTATTCTGTCTTAAGGGGCATGAAGGCAAAAGTAAGGAGAAGGGTCTTGGGGTTCCCAGAGTCTGGGTGCCCTCTTACTTTTACCACTTCTTGCCCTCCTAGGCCCCATGGGACTTGCAGAACCCTGTAATCCCAGCAGTACCTCTGCTTTTGGTGGGCAGATAAGAATCTTAGTGTGTGTCCCTTAGGGCCAGGCTTCCTCAGTCTTCGACTTAGCAACTTGGAGTCTTTCTTGCATTTGCTTTGACAGTCAGGGTTGGGTTCATCTACACCCACTTTTTCTTCTACTTCCTCTTTCTCTTACATAGTGTCAGAAGCAGCGACTAGGGAGACCTAATGTTACTTAGGATAAAACATCCAAATTAACTCAATCTTTAATGTGTAACCTCCTAAAACAAAAGCAAGCTCTTTGTTTGGAATTGATCAAAATTAACCTCTGTATTTAAGTCCAGGACTGTCTGAATTATTCAGTTTCCTGAGTTTGCTGTTCATCCAAATCATTTCTAGAGTTACTATACAAGGGTTTATGCGTAAATATTACCTGTCTACCTCAGAACACAAGTGCTGCTGAAGCATTCTGCAAGACCGTGTTCTCACAATGCAGTTACATTAGAATTTAGGTGTTTTCCCATGTGGTGAAACTAAAGAAGAGTTAAACAGTTAGAAACCTCCAAATTTAAAAAAAAAAAAAAAAGGTTAATTTACAGTTCAGATCAAACTTAGTATGGCTATATAATCTCATGATATATATTTGTAACTTTGTAGCTACTTTTAGAACCACTTGACTTTGCTATGGTGCTAAGTTGATAGATCTAAGTATTCAGCGAGGCAGAGTCGCAACTGATGTCCTAGCTGGGCACCACTGTCCCAACAGCCCTGCTTCTGTCATCACGTTAACCTGATAAACCTCAGCAGCAAAAATACCTATTTTTCTAAGATTCCATCTTGCGCCTGTCTGTACTGCAGACAGTTTCCCAATGCCCTTCTGCCCTTTGGTCTGACCTGTAGCCTTACCTTCTCCTAGATGAAGCAGAGTGACTGTGGGCCAGATGGAAGTTTCCAGGCGCCTTATTTCACTCCTGCCAAGCTCCATGTGACATCCAAGGCCAAATTTTATTTTTCCAGCATAAACACTAGGATTAGTTGGTGATTGGTCCTGTCCAGCTATCTCAGCAGGCGGAGCTCCTGTGAAGTTGTTTTCATAGCTGCCGATGCTAGAAATCGGTGCATCCAACTAGCAGCCCCGGGACCAGCCTCCCAGCACGTGGTCTCGCTCAATACCATTTTCATGAAAATTTTAGAAAACTCAGATAGAATATATAATATTGAATTTAAGATTTGGGGGGTTAAAAAAAAGAAAACTTTATAAAATTATTTATTCTATTTTAAGCCTTCTATCATATTTTCCCATCCAGTTGTTTGGTTTCTGTGGTCCAGCTTTATTTACAGGCATATAAGATAAAATTGTGAGATGTTTTGCAAGCTTCTTTTACTTTTTGTAGCCTTTGGTTTGTATGTTTTTATAGGGATGAAGAGCATTTTTATGCTTTTGTGCAATAGGTTCCAACATGCATTATTAGAGTGTTTAAATTGTGATCTAGCATTGATTCTACTAAATTGAAAGGGAATATAGGTGGAATCTCGGTATTTGTGCATTCAGCTATTTGGTTTTGCCTTTTCCACTGTTATTATAAGAATGCTGTTACTGGGATTGCGTGTGTGTGTGTGTGTGTGTGTGTGTGTGTGTGTGTGTGTGTGTGTGTGTGTGTGTGTGTGTAGATGTGTTCCATCAATATGAAAAGATAAGCAACCTGGCAGGAAGTGATGAGGTTGGCACTATGTTAGGCTTGGCTAACATGAGTACACCCAAAGTCCTTGAGCTGAGTCTGTGGCTGAGCCATCCTGGGGGTTTGGATTTCATTGTCTCCACCTATGAAACTGACAGTGCTGCTCTTCACAGACCTACTGGCCCCAATGCCTGCCCTGGCATCAGAATCTTTAGAAGCTAGTGTGTTTTGTTTCTGAAGGCATACAGGGTGGTGTTTCACAGTGCTCTGAAATGTGTCTTTAGAGTAAGTGTTCCAGGAATGAGCCGACTGAGTTCAATGCAGATTGTGAATACTCTCCTCCCCTCTCCATCTGTCTCTCTCTCTCTCCCTCCCTCTCTCTCTCTCTCTCTCTCTCTCTCTCTCTCTCTCTCACACACACACACACACACACACACACACACACACACACACAGTATCTGTTTCCTCAGGAAATCATTTAAACCCCAACACATCACAGGGTACCTTAACATGAAAACAAGTTTTCTCTCTGCCTTGATAATAAATATACAAATCACTTAATCGCACCACAGTCTGCATATCTTGAATTCCTCCAGTCAGGGAGTACTACCATTCAGGCCCCCATCAGGAACAGCTGTGTGGTGCTGTGGCTCTCACAATCAGTGTTCCTATAGTCACTTACTCCCATTTGGAGAAAGAACTAAAGTGTGCCGTGAGGTAGGTAGGTAGGGGTGTGTGTGTGTGTGTGTGTGTGTGTGTGTGTGTGTGTTACTTTAGCATGTCAGTTCCAGCTCTCAACTTGTACCAGACACACTTTTCCCAAGGGAAAGTAACATCAGGTCATACAGTAGCACCACCACCTGCACCTGAGCTCTCACCTTGGAATGCAGCCACAGCTAACAACCATCATGGTGTATGAAATGATGCAGGTTCAGATTTTTTGACTGTTTAATTTGAAAGTTTACATTTTTTATGATTGTGTTAGTGTGTAATTTTTGTACCATCAGTGGCTAGTTTTTGTCTGTAATCTTTTTTGGAATATTGCTTAATGTTTTGATTTCATGATAGTGAAGCTTGTATTCCGTGTTTTGCCAATTAATATTATATGCTTGTAATAAAAGCAGAAGAAAAACTTAACTAAAATCTGGACTGGAAATGTTTTACCTGAAGTGTCTGTAAGAGCTTATGACAGGTCATGTGTTACAGAGTATGATCATCCCTCTCGTCTCTAGGCTCAGTCATCCAGGGATGGAAAAATCATCATAAAAATACACAGATTTTTTTTGTGTTTGTTTTGATTTTTTTTTTTTTTTTTTTAGCTTTTTGGGTTTTTTGAGTCAGAGTCTCTCTGTAGTCCTAGTTGCCCTAGAATTCACTATGTAGATCAAACTGGCCTCTAACTCACAGAGATCTGCCTTCCTTTGCCTCCTGAGTGCCAGGATTAAAGGTGTAGGCCACCATGCCTGACATATTGTATAAAAATTAGTTGTTTTGTAAAAGGAAATTGAGCATCCCCAGTTTCTGTATCTGCAGGGGATCTGACCTCAGGTGTGCCAAGGGGTTTCTGTTCTCCTGAGAAGTGCTGTAGATGCTCACCACTGAGGCATGCCTAGCCTTGCTCAACACCAGAACACAAGTGTGCTGTCTGTCCCCTGGGTTTACTACCACTTCCTCTGTTCCATACATCTTTCTAAAACGTTACTCTGGACACAGGACTTCATTTAAATTGTCCCAGAATGGGGTACCAGAGTTTGGCAGAAACACATAAAATAATGTGTGATTTGTCACACATTTTGGTCTGAAGCTGGGTATGTCAACAAAGATGCTGGAAAGGAGTCTGCTGGTGCCTATCAGTGGGCCAAAAGAACAATGACTAATTATTTTAAACAGTTTACTCCCCCCAAAAAAAGGAAAAAAATCACTGGTCAGACTTATAGTTTCTAAAAGTTAAGTTTTGCAAGCCTGAGAAAACTAAGTAGGAAGGCAAGAGGTAGTGACCAAAATTAGGTTTTGATGGCCTTAACTAAGTTCTTTGTGTTGTGTGTGTGTGCCAGGGGAAGATGTTAAATGTCCTACTCTCACTTTCTGCCTTACCCTTGATTTAGGTTTGTCACTGAATTTGGAGCTTGGTAGTAGCCAACAAGCTTGTGTGATCCTCTGTTCTCCCCCTCTCATTACTGGATTTATAGGCATGCATAATCACATCTGGGGATTTGAATTCAGGTCCTCACTGCGCATACAACTATGCTTGTCCACCGAGCCACCTCCTTAGTTCCTGACTTAACTTTCTTTTTCCTGTTTTTGGCAAGTCATTTCACATCTTACAATTGTCAGGATATAGCTATACTGTAGGCAAACAGGGAATAACTGACTGTTTTAGTTACTTTTCTGTTACCATGACAAAATACCATGACCAAGGCAACTTACAGGAAAAAAAAAAAAAAAAAAAAAAAAAAACATTTAATTTGGGGTTCATGGTTCCAGAGGGTAATAGAGCACATTGACTTTCATGGTGTGGAGCATGGCAATAGACAGTAAGGCTTGGTGCCAAAGCAGTAGCTGAGAGTTTACCTGATTAGATAACAGCCATGAGACAGAGAAGGAGTGAACTGGGAATGGCATGGACTTTTGAAGCCTCCAACAAGGCCACCAAACACCTCCACCAACCACAGGACAAGTATTCAAATATATGAGTCTATGGGGCTCCATTGTCATTCAAACCACCACAGCAGCAAACACAAATCTTCAGATCCAAGTTAGTTGCTGCCATCTACTTTCCAGATGAGATCAGTGGGTTGCAGGATGTAAGCATGTTGTTGACTAGAGCTGCAGCACAAGACACTTCCTTCGGGGAGATTGTGTCTGTCCCTTCAAAGGTCCTCAGTTGCTACATGGATGCAGGCCCAGGGTACCTCTATCACGGTAGGTGGGCTGTTTCTCTAGTGCTTTTTCTGTGTGCTCTACCTGGCCACATGTGACATCATGGAGTCAGATGTGGTGAAGGTAGATGTGACCACTCTAGCATGCAATAGGCAGGTGAAAAACGGGTGATGTTTTGATAGAGTTATCAGCAGGCATTGCTCTTTTTCAGGGGAGACATTTACAAACATCTGTTCACCTCAGATAGGGAACCAAGGATGGAACAAAGTACAGTTACCACTGTGCCAACTTGCTGAACCAATGCATTTCACCAGGTTTAGTTAAAAGAGCAGAAATTACTCAGCCAACTGCATCATGGGTGACAGTTTATAAAAGCTGGAAACCTGGAACACACTGAACAACCTACAGGCAGCTCAACAGGTTGGGTGTGTGGTCCTTTCCTAATGGTTCTGTTGGGTCTGAACTTTTTCCAGACAGCTCAGCTACTCTCTTTAACCTGCTTATCTTGTCTTTGCTTCTTCCTAGAAGCTAAGCTGATCCGAGAGACCAGTCTTTACTGTTTAAATACTCACGGGGTGGAGGGGTCTAGCAAATCTGATCAGTTTCAGGGACTTTGTGAAGCAATTTTGAGACGCTATCTTCCTGGCTTAAAGGAGCTTCCCTGTGGGATGGAGCATTTCACATCCCTTTAGAACATCCTGTTCTAAAAGATCCTGTTGTT